AGCGCCAGACACTAGACTCAATTTAAACTGAATCTGAAAATCTTCATCCTCATCTTTTGTAAATCCCTCAGCGAAGTAACTTTCAGTGGGAAAAACGAACTTAGAAAGATCAGCACCATTATTTAACAATACTTGGACGGTATTCGGCATGAGATTCGCCACAGCCCATTGCAGCGGTGTCCGACCCTTCCTGTCTCGAACATCGACCTGCACCAATTGATCGACTTCTTTGCAAATCTTGAAGACTACCTCCATTAATCTTTCTTCAGTATGGAATTCATCCACCTTGCAAATATAGTGCAGAGGTGTCAATCCCTCTGCATCAGCTATGTTTAGATCGGCGCCCTTTTCCAGCAAAAACTTGATGTTCATGGTTTCTATACGCCATTCCATGGCCAAGTGCAACGGCGTGACACCCAACTTGTCTTGGGCATTGATTTTTACCGGCTTTTTTAATTCGTCGCTGACCTCGAATAATATCTTCGGCAAGTCAGCAGAATCGTCTCTATAACTCATACGGTGCAGAGGGGTCCATCCCTTCTTGTTAGCCAAATTTGGGTCAGCCCCATTTCTCAGCAGCAATTCGACCATCTGCCTGTCAAAGAACCACACAGCCTTGTATAGCGGCGACTCGCCTGTTTTTCCCTCGAGGCAATTAGGGTCCTGGCCGAACTCGAGGAATCTCTTGACGACGTCGTAACATCCGTACTCGCAGGCCACGTGAAAATGCGTCAATCCATCTTCGTCGGTGTAGTTCACGTCGAATCTGTCGTAGATATGGAAAAGTTTAGACACGACATCGGACCTGAATTCGTGCATATGATGCAGTGGTGTGGTACGACGCGACGACGGCTTGCCGCTCTCATCAACTTTGGGCTCGTCTTTGTAGCCGGTACTGATCACAAAGTCGACGAGTGGTTCGGGGTCGATGTTTAACAACGCGTCAGTGTCAGCGCTATCATCGTCATAGTAGCTATCATCGTACATCACAGACTCCGCAAGAAACCAATCGATCTCTTCGGGCCGAAGAATGTCCCGAAGATTCGGAAGTTCGCCCTGCCAATTTCTGATCAAGGGATGAAGCTTACAAAGAAATTCGCGTCTCTTTTCTCTGATCTCTCGATTGAACTCTTCGTGCATACTTTTGAATTTTTCCAAACAGTTTTGATTTTCTTGCGCCATTGTTTTATACACACTCGCACAAACACAAAATTACTTATAATTACGATTTTTTTTTTCCTTTATCACGACAAAACACTTGCTGCTGTTGATCTTTCTTTACTTACACTGCGTGGCTTCGTAACGCGCACTCACTACTGACTATGCGCTATTGCGATCTTACAAAAACATGCGATCGAGCTATTAGCCGCTGTTTGATCCCAAACAAGTAGCGACCCGCACGAGCACCAGCGAACGAGTTCAAGAGAGAGACAGAGATACTCGACGGTTACACATATGCGATATATAGACGTTACAAAGGAATGGACGCTGAGATGTAGTCGCCGCAGCAGAAGCAAGCGGTCAGATTTATGGAAACATCGGGTCACTGCGGACAGTTTTTCATATTGAATAAAAAAAATTTCCTCATGGAGAAAAAAATAGTATAACAAATTATCTATGATGAAATCTCAAAAAAGCTTTATTTCGACATTTTAGATGATAAATAATTCAACCATAATAATCTTTCGAAATACTGATTTTTCCGATATGTTGTATTTCACACGGGCCCGGAAATTTCTAATCGTTGTCTTTATCTGTAATTCAAAATTGTTAGAGTGTTACAAATATTTTCAATGCAAAATTGTTTTAAGATTTGCAAAAGAAATCACGACTTCAAGTTGTCCTCATCTAATTGGGCTCTTTCATGCAATTTAAAGCGCGCTTTTCTCGAAAAGACGAAAAGTAGACTTGAAGAGAAAGTTATTTTGTCTTTTTACCGCAGATATACAATTATGCCAAACTAAGATGAGAGAAAATAAAATTAAAACAAAAAAATAAAAAACTCGGCAAATTTTAATTGAATTTTTTAAAATTTATTCACATGAATCATATGTAGAAAATCTATAACATTCAAATATGTTTATGCTTAGCTATGGCCTTCAGCCGCCAAGCAAATATTAAATAAATCGTCGTTCGTTAGCTGCTTAATGATTAAATCGCAGCAGAGATTTGGCAATTGGTAATGCGTTAGCTCCTCGAAAGAAGGCAGTGCCCATCGTCGGTAAAATCCTCTCGACATCATCTCGCACAGATGCACACCGCAAGCCTGTCTATAATATGTGAAAAGCTTGTAATTATCTTCGTAAACTAACTCCAAATAGTCCTCGTACGTGAGAAGTTTCGCCGCAGCTTCGGGTTGCAATCCCATCAAGTCATAGAGCGAAAGACTATCATTTATCATAATTTCCTTCGCATTCTCCGCGAAATAATCGCTCTCGTACCAAGGCTCTGTAACATACAATAATTTTTGAAACAATTCATACTTAGCGAAGCATTTCATGATCGTCAAGACGTCGCTTAGTTCCAGCTTGTATCCTCTTTTCTCTAGGCGCTCAACGATGACTAGGGAGCGAGGCACTGCATAGAAATTAAAATGAAGACTATTTTCTTCAACCAGATCTTTGGTAGATTCGAATTTCTCGGCGAAGTAACTCTCATCAGGAAAAACGAAGTTGGATAGGTCAACACCATTGTCCAAAAGTACATCGATCACGTCCGGTAAAAGATTCGCCACAGCCCATTGAAGCGGTGTCCTTCCCAAGTTGTCCAGTGCATCGACCTGTACCGGCTGATTGACTTCTTTGCCGATCTCCAAAAATTGCTCCAACAATTCATCGTCATCGCATCGATGATCCTTGCAAATAAAATGCAGAGGCGTCGATCCTTCCGCATTGGCTATGTTCGGATTGGCGCCATTTCTCAGCAGAAGTTTCATCAAGTCCTCGTGGCCGTATTCCAAGGCATAGTGCAGCGGTGCGTTACCTAACTTGTCTTGAGCGTTGACTTGAACCGGCGGATATCTTTCGTCTCTCATCTCGAATAACATCTTCGCCACCTCTTTATACACAAACCACATTTGGCTCATTGTGTGCAAAGGAATCCGTCCGTGCTTGTTGGCGCAAGTCAGATCGGCGCCGCTTCTCAAAAGCAATTCGATCACTTCTTTGTTGCGTGAAAACACAGCCAAATGCAGCGGCGAGTCACCTGTTTTTGTTACGAGAAGATTGGGATCCACTCGGCCGAGCTCGAGAAATTTCTCGACAACCTCGTAACATCCTGCCATGCAGGCCACATGGAAATGCGTCAATCCATCTTCGTCGGTGTAGTTCACGTCGAATCTGTCATAAATTTTAAAAAGATCATTGATGTATCTTTTATTGCTCCTAATCGCATGATGTACTGGTGTAGTTCGACGCAACCATGGCTTGCCGTCATAGTCCACCTCAGGCTCGTCTTTGTAGCCAGTATTGATCACAAAGTCGATGATTTCGTTGAACTTGCTCTCATTGTTGCACTTCACAGCATTCGTGAGAAACCAATGGATCTCTTCGGGCCGAAGAATGTCCCGGAGATTTGGAAGTTCACCCTCCCAATTTTTGATCAAGTGATAAATATTATAAAAAAATTCCCATCTCTTATCTTCAATCTCTTTATTGATCTTTTCGTGAAGACTTTTGAATTTTTCCAAACAGTTTCGGTTTTCTCGGGCCATTGTTTCTCACTCTCACGCAACGCACAATCACTTTCAATTCACGGTATTTCTTATTTTGCACGAGAATCACTTGCTACGGCTGATTTTTCTCTGTTATTCACGCTGCGGCGTTGTAACGCTTACTGACCAGCGTTGGTTTCAGTGAGCTCTACGCTCATAGTCTATGACCGAAATATACCGTGGCGCCGATGGTGGCACGCATGTAGTTATTCTTTATTTAAGTAAAAATAATAATGTTTATTGATTAAATTATAATAAAATATATTTATTTCAACATAGGAACAATATCCGATATTTAATTTACCATTTAATGATAGTAATCAAATGAGTTCAACTGATATTTCGCGCTCGCAATATGCTCGATAACCCGTTTCAGCTCTGCGCTACCACCGGCGCCACGGTATATTTTGGTCATACACTATGAGCGTATAGAGCTCATTGAAACCAACGCTATTACTGATTGTATTGTACGCATGTAGAGCTATCTTAAGCTCCTTTTACATAAGCTCGAACGGCTTGGAATGCATACGCGATTGGCATTCAAGCGTTGAGAACGAAGCCTTTTCAGCTTTATGTAGAAGGGGCCTCACCAGCAGCGTGAGCGTAACGAAGAGAAACGCACGGTGCATCTGCTATATGTCAATTCTTACAGTAGGCACAAGTTTAAAAGATAGCCGGTCTATAATTGGTACCTCTGCGAGTGTCGATAAAGAAGAGACGTAACTACGAGCGATAAAGCTATATGTCGCGAGTGCAGAGTGGGACAAGCGACAGAGAGAGAAGAGAAAAGAAGAGATACACGACGAGAAACGAGAAATACTTTCATCGGACTAAGCCATGTTTTTGTCTCTCGAATTCATTAAGCCGGTATTTGCGCTCAGTCTTTATGAGCATGGCGAAGTAAAATTTCGGAAAAAATTTGTTTTGAATACTATACTCTCGACGTTGGAAAATATATGAGTAGGGAAAACTTTTAGGTGAGACCGAGGCATGCATGGCCCCTATTTTTGACATCAAATAAAAAAATTTCTAGCGGAGAAAAAATCTGAAAAAATTAATCTATAATGAACACTCAAAAAAGGGTGTATTTCGTCGTTTCGGGCAATGAATAAATAATTTAATAATAATTAATCAAAACACTGATTATTCTGGTGCATTGAATCATACGTGCCCGGCTATGAGACAAAAAAGTTTTTACAAGCTCAGTCTTGAGTCAAGGAGAGCTTTTTCGCGAAAAATTGTTCCAACCTTCGGAAAAAATAAAATTAAGATGAAAAAATAAAAATCTAAGCAAATTTTAATTACATTTTTTGTGTATATTTATTTACATGAACAGACATAAAACAAGTTTACAAATATGTTTATCCTTAGGTTTGGCCTTCAGCCGCCAAGCAAATATTAAATAAATCGTCGTTCGTTAGATTATCGATGATCATATTGCAGCAGACATTTGTCAAGTTGTGACGACGCGTTAGCTCCTTGAAGGAAGGCAGTGCCCATCGTCGATAAAATTCTCTCGACCTTATTTCGCACAGATGCGCACGGCAAGCCTTTTCGTGAAAGGGGGAAATGAACTTGTAATCAACTGCCATAAATAATTTGAAATAGTCAGCACCTATGAGTAATTTCGCCGCTGTATCGGGTTGTAACCTCATCAAGTCATAGAACGAAGGACCATCATCTATAATTTTTTTTTTCGCATCCTCCGCGAACCAGTCTGCCTCGTACCAACGCTCTTCAACCAACGGTGATTTCTTGAACATTTCGTACTTGGCGAAGCATTTCATGATCGTCAGGGCATCGCCTTTCTTTAGTTCGTATCCCCATTCTTCTAGGAATTCAACAAATACTAGGGCGAGAAGCACTGAGAGGTATTTGAATTCTAACAGATTAGAATCTTCGAAAGATTTCAAATTATCACCAAAGTAACTCTCATCGGGAAAAACGAAGTTTGATAGATTGGCACCACTAGATAACAAATCTTTGACATTATACCGCCTAATTTTCGCCACGGCCAATTGCAGCGGTGTCCGACCCAAATTATCCCGAGCGTCGATCTGCACAATCTGATTGACTTCTCTGCTGATCTTGATGAATAGTTCCAAATAATCAGGGACATCGGCAAAATTGCTGACTATAAAGTGCAGAGGTGTCGCGCCTTCCTTATTGGCTATGTTCGGATTGGCGCCATTTCTCAGTAGAAGTTCCATTAAGTCCTCGTATCCGTTGCCCAAGGCAAAATGCAGCGGTGCATTACCCGAATTGTCCTGAGCATTAACTTGCACCGGCCGAAATTTTTCGTCGCTCATCTCGAATATCATCTTCGCCGAGTCCACGTCGCCACTATTGCATGCGATGTGCAGCGCAGTCGATCCTTTCTTGTTGGTCAAATTCGGATCAGAACCAGCTCTCAGCAACAATTCGACTACCTTGTTTTTTTCCTTGCGCAGAGCGAAATGCAGCGGCGAGTCACCTGTTTTTGTCACGAGAAGATTGGGATCGACCTGGCCAAGCTCGAGGAATTTCTTGACAACCTCGTAACATCCTGCCATGCAGGCCACATGGAAATGCGTCAAACCATCTTCGTCGGTGTAATTCACGTCGTATCTGTCGTAGATTTTAAAAAGATTAGAGGCGATTTCGGATCTGGATTTGGTCACACAATGCAGCGCTGTGGTGCGACGCGACAACGGCTGGCCGTTCTGATTGACTTTGGGCGCGTCTTTGTAGCCGTCCCTGATCACAAAATCAATGAATGAAGTTGTTTGTGCCTCGATTGTGTCGTGCTCCACGGAGTGTTTGAGAAAATCCTCGATTGCTTCGGGACGAAAAATGTCCCGGAGATTAGGATTTTGGCCCTGCCAATTTGCCACCAAGGTATAAACTTTAACAAGATATTCGCGTTTCTTTTGTTTGACCTCTCGATCGAACTGTTCGCTTAAACTCTTAAATTTTTTCGCGAAGTTTTCACTGTCTTGCGACATTGTCCTACGCACTCACGCACAAAACAATCGCTTAAAATTGTAAGATATTTGTTATTTTTCACGATAATCACTAGCAACAGTCGATCGCACGCTATAAACAGCCGATGCAGCTGTTACTCTCGCTACGGCGTTGTTATGCTTACTAACTGCGTTGTACATGTGTCAAGCTGTTTTAAGCTCCTTTTGCATTCAAAGCCGAAATGGCTTGGAATGCATCGGAGCTTGTACGACTGTGCGCGACTTTCGCTCGCATTGCTCGCTACTACCGATCTCGCGCATTTCAGCTTATGTAGAATGAGCCTTAAAAAAAACTTGCGGTCGAGCTACATGTCGCGAGCAGTGAGGCAAACGAGAGAAAGAGAGAAAGAGAGAAAGAGAAGAGAAACACACGGAGAAACGAGAGCCTATAGTCGTATACTGTAGTCGCCACAACAGAAGCGAGCAGACAAACGTATTATATGAGTATGGCTGAGCAGTCGGAAGTAAAATTTCTAATAAAAAAAAATTTTTCGAACGTAATGCATTTGACGCTTTAATACACCCACGCCAGGAAAAATTTTTCGGGGAGATCGAGACATGCATGGCATTTTGACATTAAATAAAAAAATCTGAAAAAATTCGTGCCTTTAGTTCAATAAGTAATCTATGATGAAACTAAAAAAAAAGGATATATTATTTCGTCATTTTGGATACTAAATAAATAATTTATTCATAAATAATCAATGAAAATACTGATGATTCTGATAAATTGAAGTACGTGGGTCCGACCATGGGGCGTGATCGGCGATTTTGAAGCATCGTTTTATTTTATCTTTATAAATTTGATAATAACACAATTGACTTGAAAGTTGTATTTTGTATATATATACCGATCGGATATTTTTTTGCCACTTGCGACTTTACGATGCTCCATCTGTTGGCGAAATCAACAAGCGCCCGATATCGGAATATAATTACTTCGATTGCGATAAATCACATTACAATACGAACTTGGCACACATTAATTATTACATTTTTTTAAGATACATCTCAAATTTTGCCATGGGTCAATTTTTAATTTGTAACGTGACAATTTTTAGAATAGTTCGTATAGAGATTTTTTGTAATGCAACCCAGCGAGTATAAAATATCGTTGCTATAAAGAGTATCTTGGCGTAGAAGTTTGACTCGGATAAAACCAAAATAGCCGCGCGCACGTGCAAATTTTCAATGCACCGTATGTATAAGCGTTTGGGTATACATCTCTTTCAGAGGCAGTAAAATATGCGAATGACCCAAGAGTTACGCGCGCATACACGTGCCTATATCGATGTCAAGATGTTCGATAAAAATTTTTCGTTTCCCTTTAAGCCTCGTATACATTTATATTAAGTAATACCCACGCAATAATAACATAAATACATAAAAGATATACACGACTTGGCTGCGGGAGGGAGTCAACGATCGCTGCCTCGTGCAGCTGACCCTCCTCGCGGCGCCCGAACCGATCTAAACGCGACTCACGTGCCAAGGCGGTCTGTTCCCAGGTTACAAGACGATACTCAAGTGCGTCCAGGGCAAGTTCAGATGCGGCGAGCTCACGGCCATCATGGGCCCGTCCGGCGCCGGCAAGAGCACCCTCATGAACGTCCTCGCCGGCTACAAGTGAGTAGTACAATTATGATCATTTTTGCGGGCACGTCCAAGGTGTCGTTATTATCATTATTATTATTATAAACGGCTCCCAAGGGCGCCTTCGTTCGTTCGAAACTCGTGCGCGTCCGGAATGTTAATGTACGATAAACAATAACGTATAGCAATAACAATTTCTCGCGTAGTAGTTTGATAGATTATGTATTATATACATTGCATACGTGTATAGTCGCCATTGAAATCGTCAAGCCCGCGCGCGCGAACGACGTGACCCGAGTTTTCAAAACTTCTATACACGTACAGGAGCTCTATAATCTCTTATGAATATATACATCCCGACGCGAGCCGGCCCCACATTATACAACAAATTTGAATAGACGCTCCGCGCGCAAGTTTCCTCTATACGGTATGCTGTAACGTACAAGAGACGATTCTCCGACGATTATAATGGCTCGGAGTAATTTAATTTGTTACTAAGCCCCGAGCTCGAGCTCGCAAATTGTATGAAATATAATTGATGATTAAGTCTCTTTTATTTTGAAATATCGCCGATTCACCCGATTGTATTTTCTACTTTACGTGTCGCGTGTCTCGGCCCGCACGCGACCTTCTGATCTAGTTTTCCTTTTCTGCCCCCGCCGATCCGATAATTCGTTTATATATATATAATTATCGTTCTTTTTTTCCGCCCTGCAGAACGTCGAATCTCAGCGGCTCGGTGCTGATAAACGGCAAGGATCGCAATCTGCGCCGATTTCGCAAGATGTCCTGCTACATAATGCAGGACGACCGTCTGTTGCCCCATCTCACCGTATACGAGGCCATGACGGTGTCGGCGAATCTCAAGCTCGGCAAGGACATCACCGCGGCGGCCAAGAAGGTCGTGATCGAGGAGATCATCGAGACCCTCGGCCTGAGCGACGCCAGCAGCACGCTGACCCATCGTCTGTCGGGCGGCCAGATGAAGCGGCTCTCGATAGCTCTGGAGCTGGTCAACAATCCGCCGGTGATGTTCTTCGACGAGCCGACCTCGGGCCTGGACAGCTCGAGCTGCTTCCAGTGTCTGAGTCTGCTCAAGTCGCTGAGTCGGGGCGGCCGCACCATCATCTGCACGATACACCAGCCGAGCGCGAGACTCTTCGAGATGTTCGATCATCTGTACATACTGGCCGAGGGACAGTGCATTTATCAGGGCAACGTGGGTGGATTGGTGCCGTTTCTGTCGTCCATGTGCCTGGACTGTCCGAGCTATCACAATCCTGCCGATTACGGTAAATATACTATGCTAAATATATATTTTAAGGTGCAATAATAATGATCGTCACGAGTGACGTAGCAATAGTGAATAATTAATTATTCGAATTATTTATTGTTTGTCTTTCATTAAAATTAAAATGAAATGTGTTTTCTAAAGTACCCGGAAGAGCCGCTATAACTTTTACAGTTGCTAAATCATTTTAATATGAGTTTGTGATGTTCATTCATTAATATCGATAAAAGAGCCAACTATAACCAGTGAATGAATATTTTCCTTTACTAGCACATCAATGTTCACAATGGCGTTGCATTGCTTGATTGAATAAAAATATTTTTTCCGACCGATATCACAGAATCAATTTTGTCACTGACGTGGATCAATTTAGTAACTTGGATTACTTGAAATTTAATTATTCATAAAACATTTACAAGCATTCAATTAACGATGAACAACAAAAAAATATTATGTATTGATTATTATGTATTTCATTCATTCACTGATCGAATCTGTTTTTTAAAGTACTTTCATTCTCGACCCAATCAAATATTATCTATAGAGCGTGATATATTTTTACAATAGTTTAATTTTTTTGTCATCGATCTAATATTGTTATTTTACGAAATTATTCAATAACAGCTGCGTTTCGTCACCCGATTAGGCATTTTCTCGCGTTAACGACAACGACGAGCGTGTGATTCATAATTCTCTTTCTCTCCGAGAAATTGCGAGATGCTTATCGTCATCGCGCGCTTTGTTTCAATTTTTTCTTTCAACTTCATAAACAAGTGCATAATACGATATTCTAGCGCAATTGCGAAAAATTTATTTGTATATGATTCTTTATTACGCGAGTCGCAATGAACGAGAGAACAAAAAAATGCATAATATAATTTCAATATTATAGTCATGGAAGTGGCCAGTGGGGAGCACGGCGAGTGCGTGCACAAGCTCGTCTGCGCCGTCAACAACGGCAAGTGCAACAATTATCAGCACTACCAGACGGCCCTGGTGGCCGCCCAGGCCCTGTCCAACGACATCGCCAAGCAGCCGCCGACGAGTCCGGCCGGTCAACAGCAGCAGCAACAGCAGCAACAGCAGCAGCAACAACAACAGCAACAGCAACAGGATCAGCAGACACCGCCCAGCGGCAACAACGGCAAGGAACTGACGGTGGCCGGAGTGGTGGGCGGTGGCCAGGCACTGGTGCCGAACGGCGTGGCCTGCGGCAAGGCGCCGACGTCGTCGAGCAACGGCACGAGCTGCGTCCTGAGCCTGCCCGTGTCGTGCACCACCTCGCTGCTCGACAGCGCCGAGAGCATCGAGCAGAAGGTCGGCTTCCCGACCAACGGCTGGATACAGTTCTGGATACTGCTCAAGCGCACCTTCCTCTCGCAGTGTCGCGACATGGTAAGAGAGAGATACGGATAATTGCAGACTATTAATTTATTAGAGAGAGATTCGTGCGCATTGCGCGTACATTACATCGGCATGGTCGATTTTCAGACATTGACGAAGGTCAGGCTGATATCACACATAATCGTGGGTTTTCTCATCGGGGCAATTTACTACGACATTGGCAACGACGCGTCCAAGGCCATGAGCAACGCCGGCTGCGTGTTCTTCACCGTCATGTTCATCATGTTCACGGCCATGATGCCGACCATCCTCACTTGTGAGTTTATTTTTTTTTTTTCAACAAAATTATAAGTAACGTACGATAATTATGGCAGTGCATTACCGATTTTTTTCTTCTGCAGTTCCCGTGGAGATGGCCGTGTTCGTGCGGGAGCACTTGAACTACTGGTACTCGCTCAAGGCCTTTTATCTGGCGAGGACCCTAGCCGACATACCGTTTCAGGTAATGATAATTCGATCGCGCACCGTTGTATATTCGATCGTGTCATCGATCGCGCGATAATAATCGTTTCGTTAATTTTGTCCGTCCAGATCGTGTACTCGATAGCTTACATCATCATCGTTTACTTCATGACGTCGCAGCCGCTCGAGTACGAGCGATTCTTCATGTATCTCAACATCTGCATACTGACGTCGCTGGTCGCCCAGTCGATCGGTCTGCTGATCGGCGCCGCGATGAGCGTCGAGGTAAGTTCAACGTAACAGGAAAATTACGACACAGCTTTTATTTACATAATCCTCCACAGTCCGGCGTGTTCATCGGGCCCGTGACCTCGGTGCCGATCGTCCTGTTCTCCGGCTTCTTTCTCAACTTCAACGCCATGCCGAGGTACCTGCAGATCGTCTCCTACTTCTCGTACATACGCTACGGCTTCGAGGGCGCCATGATCACCGTCTACGGCTACAATCGCAAGTCGCTCAAGTGCTCGGAGGACTTTTGCCTGTACAAGTCGCCGCGCAAATTTCTCAGCGACATGTCCATGGACCAGGCCGTCTACTGGATCGACGTGGTGGCCCTCGTGGGCTTTCTCATACTGCTGCGCATCGTCGCCTACTTCGTGCTCAGGCTCAAGCTGCGCTCGTTGCGTTAAGGAGAAAAAAAACACGACAAAAAATTAGCGACGACGAAAAGAAAACTATTTTTAAAACGAGATTCGCGCGTGATCGATGTGTATATTTGTTGCGGTATACCACCGATCGTGTGTTGCGATAATCTTATTGCGTACGCGTACGTACGAATATTATACATATTAACAAAAAAAAAGTCTGCTCGTGTACAGACAATAAAGGGCATAACGTATAAAAAATAATAAAGAAAACAAGACGCTCGATGCGACACAATGGACGATGATAACGACATTGAAAAAACAAAAAAAAAAACAAAAAGGAAGTCGGAAGTATGTGTGCGATGAAACGGTTGGGCGTGGAAATTATCGATCGTCTGCATATCCACACGAATATACAAACACACGCACACACATACACACACGCGGGCATTCAGATAGAGACGCAATTGGAATCGATCGAATTATGTATAGATGAAAGATACGTGTTACGAAGGAGCTAATATATTTAACGGAGGAATCCTATATTTGACTCGCGGCGTCAAATTTACAACGCAATTACGTGTATCGGGCGGCATTATTATACGATATATAAAAATACGACTTGGCGCGTGTATTGAGCTTTTTCGTCATTCTCCTATATTCAATATAGTGGCTGTGTAATTTTTTTGTCCGTGCGCGAGCGCGCGTATACATGAGGGTATGTGAAAATTTTTGCAACTATTATGAATACGTATATATGTAAACGAAAAAAAAAGGTAATTGCATTATTATATATATACGTATGCAGTACTGCCGAGAATGTTGTGAAAAAAAATCACGATTAACAAAAAAAATTATTATGATATTAAAAAAGTACATAATGTGTAACGTGTGTACGTTTACGGTGCCAATGACTGACGACCGATTTTTTTTCGAGTTTAGTAGTAAACTTAACAACAACAACAACAACAACAAAATTGATAAGTTGGTGTGTTTTTTCGGGTGCACAATCTCGATTATGTTTAATACACACATCGCAATATCTCTTATAATTTTAACCCCTATCAATTACCTTTAATTTCTCGATGCTCTCTTTATGTCTCTGACATTATTGACTTTAATTTTGCACTGTCTCTGTATGCCATTGTTTTTTTGTTTGTTTTTTTTTTACTAATGCTATTCATGTATAAAGACGAGTTGCACTAAAAATGATCTCTGCAATAACTATTTTATGTCGACATTGTTGGGGATCGTTTTTGTTCTCATTGTGTATAGATAGGAAATAATAAGATTATGTATAAAAAAAAAGTTAAGAACGATTTGCACTCCAATATACATACCTACGACATAGACATAGAGTATAAATGCAAATTATAGACGTGATATTGATATATGATAGTTTTTACGCTGATTTCCAATGAATCGTTTCGTCAAAGTTGACACGAATTTTTTACACTTAGACGAAAAAAAAAATAAAATAAAAAAATAAAACATAAATAAAATTGTATATTACACCTAAACGAGGAAGAAAACTCAAATATAAATTGGTTTGTGGTTGCCTTAGTTATCATCGAGTATACTATTTACTATGTTTATGCATATACGTGCAAACCGACGCACTTTAATACATGTTTATGAGCAAATATATGTATTATTAGTTTTTTAAGTGATTATGGTTTTTGTACCGTTACGAGTATACATTTAGCTACGAATTTTATAGGGTATCTTTTATTTAGTAGTTGATCTGATCCGTGTATAATCATCAATTGCACTAGAGTCGTAATGTTTTGTAATAGTCGAGGCAAAATAACTGTTTTTATCAATTGTGACTGTCGTTTACTATTGTTTACTGTTATCATTAATTTTATCGTACGTATTAAACGATTTCGACTGCGATTTCGTAATGCCAAGGGATTTTTTCTATATATCAATTCGATTAGCAGTTGCTAAACACTATTATTTATTTTTATATTTTGTCGCAATTATTGTAGATAGTTGAATTAATGCACATGCATATTGAAAATATATGTACTCATACGAATGTGATCACTGATTATTGGGTGCTAAATACCCTTCAATTTTTTTGAATGAATTTGATTTTTAGAAAAGAATGATTAGGTTTTATTAAGATTTTTTTATCGAATGGAAGTGAATATATCATCCTTTCATTTTTTTTATATAAAAAAAATATCTCATTGTTATAAACTGAATTGTAAGAGAATACTTTCTCCAATTCTAATTACAATTCATTTTTGAATTTCCCCGAATGCAACTGTAGCATAAATTTATGTTGATTTCAATGTATTTATGATGGTTATTTTACATAAGACGATTAAGTTTTATCTATTGAAATAAACTACTGTACACTACAATTATTTATAGAACCTTTTTTCACTAAATTTTTTAACATTATTTAAAACTTTCTATCATTAGATCGTTTTAATTTTATTCCTAACTAATCATTTATGCGTTAAAAGAATGTCGATAAAGTAAACTCCTTGATGTAGTAATATAAGATTGAAACTACCGATGCCCAAACACATTTTCATCATATTTAATAATGAACTTAAAAGTAATATAAAATAATCCAATCAACGATGAAGCCGAACTTTCCTTTAATTAACTTACCGAGAGAAAATGTCGCGATTCTTGGCTTTGACAGAAAAATTCACTCACATTTAAATAAAGTAAATTTATATAATGTACTAAATTGTGAGTCCTATGACAAGTGCAGTATATGCAATTAATAACTTATCTTCGAGAAACATGTCAATTTTAAAAACTGCATGAAAATATGAAAAGAAATATGCAAGAAATACAAAAAAAAAGAAGTTAGATAGTTATTGATTTGAAAGCATAAACGATTTCTTATCTCTATTTTAAAAATATCAACGAGTTAATGCAGTTTAATTGATTAATGAATCACAAGTTTCAAAATAAAGCAACATCGACGAATCGTTGTGAGATTATATTAATAAGTTTCATTATCCATGGAGAGCAAAATTTAAAAATGAGTAACCTACGTGAAATTTACATTGATTCCCATTGGTCATTTGATTTTTGAAAATTTTCATGAAATTTTTAATCGCAATTTGACACGATATCATGATTGAATCAGGGCCGCTCGACTCGGCCCGGAAGCACTCTTTTATCAATCCTGTTCAAAGAACTATAAAATGTCGACGATGATAATCGAAATTTCGTTGTAAATGTAATATAAAATTAATCGCTCAATATCTGTATTGAATGCAGAACTGTAGTTTATGTAAAATAATAATTCGTGGGTTTCGGTCGGTCGATTAGATTTAAAATCTGGGATAAAATCAAATGCATGTGATCACAATTTTATCGTAACAAACACTTGAAAACTTACAAAAAATGTAATGATTTGAATAAATGAGAACTAAACGAATTACAATAATTGATGCACGTATTATGATTTACGTCATTCGGGGTATAAGTACGAGATGTATTAAAAATGATAGAAGTTCATTGAAAGTAGATTCAATGATGTGGATGAGCATAATTAACCGATGAAAAGATCTTTATCTGTATTCTACATGAAAAAGTTCAAACCAAGTATATTATTTAACGACTTAGGTACTATAAATTATGCAATTTTTCAAGTGAAGTAATTTTGTAAAAAAAATTTAATTGTATAAGAATTGAAACATGAAAATGAGCCATGTGGACAAATCTAACTGGAGTCTTGATCGGGATCAATCAAGGATATGGTTTTAAGTACTCATAGTATACATGTATGAATATTTAAAGGAGGATGAAAACAATAGAATTTTGTTTTATCGAATTTTCGCATAACAATTTCATGTAACATGAAAAAGAAAACTAATGATAATAAAAGACTACAATCGAACAGTTTGCTTCGAATTTTCTTTTTACCTTTCAATAATTCATGATTCACCTAATTTGAAGACATATGAGTTGGGGCAGAGCTAGTATGTATGAACCTTCTGTACAGATTTTTTTTATCTAATGAAGTTTCAAGTTCAAAGAAGTTACTAGAAGTTTTACAGATTTTTAATGCAGAATATTCAAAGATCTCTAGTTTTAATGAAATTCAACAAATTTGGTGGAAAAGATTTTAAAAATTTACTTAAAGAATCTGAAGCTGGTGTTCATTCAACTTAATTTTTTGGAATTTCTTTATAGTAGGATTTGGATAAAATCTCAAGATCTATTATTCAAAAATAATCATATATTTACACAAAATTTTTTTGAAGTTTTACAATTGCAGTAATTCTTCATTACTTTCTAATTATTACTAGCTTGCCCTCAACAATTTATAAGTATTATATTATATAACTAAAATACTTGATGTTAAATGAAAACTACTATAGTTTATAGTATAAAATTTTTTTTATTATACTTTAATTATATTAAAGATAACTTAAAAATTTATTGTTGATCGCCAGTGGGCATCGATTTGATGATGTCAGAGTTTCCAGGGTCTGTGATCGACAATGTGCACACTCTGAAGTATTTACCGCAAGCGGTACCCAATTCAATGTTGTTACCAGTGTAGTGATGGACACCAGTTTTGGCCAACATGGCGTAGTATTCAATCTCAGATTTCCTGCAAAACGATGTTAACGTTAGATATCAAAGAAATGGTTACGAATCAGAACTGCACTTACGAGCAGTTAAATGAGACTACTCCGCAGAACTCCTTTTATTTAATTTAAAAAAAAAAAAAGAACTAAAGGAGTACTACATCTCAGTCTCTCACCTGAGTGGGGGTGTGTTATTGGCAATGATGACCAATTTGGCTTTTCCTTGACGGAGGGACTTCAAGGTCTGCTTGTAGCCCAGCACGTATTTGCCACTCTTCATGACCAGAGCCAACCTGGAGTTGATGCTCTCCATCGCCTTTTTCTGTAATAACCAATTAAAGAAATTATTAGAAACATATTCAAAACCAAAAACTTTGAATTTAAATAGTTATGAAATGGAAAAGAATGATGAAGTAGAGAGAGGGTCAAGTGCTAGATCAATTATTTAATGATCTTCCGAAATTCAAAGAATTTATGAAAACGAAGAATGGATATTTAACGATCAGTGAAAAATTATATTTAACAATGAATTGACGAAGGATGAATAAAAATTAGAATAGAAAAACGTGTTTTTTAGCACGTGTTATATAGCATAACCTCATGGTACTAACCTGTTTCTTTTGTGCAACCATTTTGATTGATTTTTTGTTGGCTTTTTACAACCTGCAACATAAAAATATTCAGCAATTAGTTGATGGCAAATATTTGGCAGTTAAATAGATCGATAGTTAAACTGTGAGAAATATTTAATATTATTATTTTCCAGTCATACTTTTGCACAACTTGAAAATGCAGCAATGCTTTGACTCACCTCACGAAGAGCTAAACCACGAAAGACGGCTTCCAGCACGAGTACGGCAGACTATAGAATAGGTCGATGGCGCCGGTGGCGGGCGGCGTGGCAATTTTCGCCCATCAGCAGCGCCAACTGGATATGAAAATGCAAGCGCACGTTTCACCGCAAAAATTGTGAATTGACATTAATCGAATGCTAATTTTTTTTTTAAATTATAATTCAATTGATTATATTCAATTGATTGATCTTGAAATTTAGGGCAGCTGGTTTTCTCTGAATAAAATATATAAATTTATAATTATAAAACGATGAAAAATGATTAAAAATAATATTTAATTTTTATGTCAACATTTTTGAAAACAATAATTATCTCCCAAATTTTTTCACATACTTTCATTAATTCATTTAAATGACTATAATTTAAGTAATGGTTACAATTTTTTCGAAAAAAATAATAACTAATAATAAAATCAGGAAAACTTTTTGCGCATTGTGAAAATAGCTTAATGCTCACAATCTGTCAGCTGCTTCATTGGTAATGAGTGTATTATGTTTACATCAAATCAATTGATACATAAAGAAATGTGTGTTTGAATTCAGATTCGATTTTATGATAAAGTTTACAATCACAGTTCAGAAAAATATACAGCAGAACCATGGCAACATCCAGCGATAAAGGAAAATTAGAATTTGCAGCAGAGCAGAATGTAGCTGAATCTCAAGACATGCAGGACTTGAAGTTGAGATTTGAATCTCCAAAACGAGCCACAACTTTATCTACTAGTACAAGCAGTTTCGAGGCTCTTGATCCTCATGATCCAAATCTCAGTCGATTAGCAAATACAATGTTCCAAAAAACTAGTGAATATTTACATGAAGAACTTGTTGCTACTCACGATGACTACAAATTATTGGAAACAATGAATAAAGAAACAATAGCCAAATATGCTGAACTCAAGTCAATATCTAGTAATGTCAGTCAATCGCTTGATGTACTAAATCAGAAGTATAAGAAATTGCAACCAGTGCTAGACAATATAAATCAAATAGACGATAGTGTTTCAAAATTGGAGCAAGCAGCATACAAACTTCTAGCGTATTCTAATAGACTAGAAGCAAAGTTCAAAGACATAGAAAAAGAGAGTAAAAAATAAATTTTATAAGGATAATTGTTTTGTATGACCAACAATTTATAAAATTCAAGTCATTTGTAACAAGGTGATAGGTCTACAATCATTTGTTTGAATTATATTAAGAAGCATTTATAAAACATCAAGATATTGATTGGTGTTCCATTACTTTTATGATCTATTGTACATTATCTTAAATTTTGTTGAATTATTACGTAGTGATCAATACAAATATAATAAACAAACAAAAGTTATAGTTTAAAAACATTCGCTTTTATTAATCAGTATTGGTTTGCACAATTAGATAAAATACTTTATCATTATCACTGTAACTATTAAAAATGAAAAGTGTTATACATTATTAAAAAAAAAGAAACAAAAAAAATGAACTCGCACTATTTATTATAATATTCTTCTTAGTTCTTTTATAAGATGGGTATTTTCTTCCATAGTTTTAAAAAATATGTTTCAATTTTTATTTGCCAGATGGTGGCATTTGCAAATATATCATCAATTTTATGTAAACAATGTTATGTTTAGCACTTGAGAACACTATGTGGTAGTATAAAGAAATAAAATGTATTTATCATAGAAATAGTAAGAAAGTCTGAAAATTTGTGTATGATTTAAATCAATTGATACTGAATATACATTTTAATTATAGATGCAGGATAAGCAACTAAATAGTAACTTAAACTTAAAAGTTCATGAGTAATTTGATAATTGAAATCAGACTGTCTTAACTTAACTCAACCAGTAATAGGTTTCAACAATCTGAAAACAAAGTCTAATCATATTATTTCAAAATCATTATTGCCGTTAAAAGAGCTTCTAAATAAATAATTATAAAAAATATGTATCAGTTGCAACTTATTCATTTACAAAGTCATCAACATGAAGTTTTGTTATAACTGAACAAAATAAGTATTCAAACTTTATAGACATATTTGGTAAACATAGACTCATATTAAATGTAAGCTAACTCCTTTTTCTCTGATGGATGCATATTTTTTTAATGTATTTCACGTATGGTCAGCAGAATTCTATATGAAATATAGTTAAGTGACATAGTTTTTTTTTAATTACTAGTTAAATAATTTGGAAAAAATATTCTAATGTTTTTCAATGCATTTACTCCCAGCAGGAATGTGTGCTTAGTTATTTAAACAATAAAATATTAATTCTAAGAATCTAGCTTCTCTATGGCAAAGTAGCTAGATTTTACAACCACCAGATCAAACTTTCTCCCTTTGAAACTTGAACATTTGAATGAGACTGTCCAGTCAATATTAAAATATTTGGACAAATTCAATTTTCAACAATCCAAAAAATTACCAGCCATCAAAAGTTCCAGAGCTATTTCAGGTGCAATTGGAAATTCTGGTATCTCGGTGCTGCTGTTTGTGTATCGAACTTTATAGGTGAAATACATACAAACTTTTTGCAAAACATGTGACCTACAAAAATATTTAAAAATTAGTTCGATAGAAACATTATCATTTTGAAAGGCATTCCAAAGTAAATAATACTGACGGTATTTCTCGGAAATTAACTTCATTAGCTTCATTTTCAGCAAATTGCCCAGGTCCACTCAACATAGCTTTGATGGTACCACTAGTCAAAGCATGTTCTCGTTTAACAATGAATTCGTGTCCATCACTGCTGACCAATTTTACGTACATAGCATCGGGTCCTTCACAACCACCATAAACTGGTGCTGTGTCCTGTTTTAAATTAATAATAAAATTAATGAGTAACAGTTCTAAATAAATACACTACACAATTTTAAATATAAAACTTGTTGTTGACCTTTTCAGCTTGCATGTTGACGTCTTGAGACATTTTCAGATGTATTTATTATTATCAACCTTGAAAAAAAATTAGGTTATTAATAAACATTAGTCAACAAATTTAAGGAAATAATTAAATCTCTCATTGAAGATTAAAATGATAATGATAATTTAGACGAATGAATTTATATTTTCGGTTCACAATTTCAAATTATTTAAATTACCAACTCAAAAATAACACAAGTATAATTTAACCTAAGCCCTGCGATTTTTGCAAATAATTTACGGCGTGTCCTATTGAAGTTAATCATGATAATCATTCATTAACCGAAGAATAAATAACATAATACATTAACTTACCAGCGTGAAAAAACAATCGAGCCAGAAGACCTTCTGACTAATAGTGAACTATGTACTTTTCAAGAACGATGAGCAAACAAAATATACTTGACCACTGTTAGTTGCTGAGCACTCTGAGTCTGCTTGGCAGTCAGCGGTGCTGACGCTTTTGGTTGGTGAATTTCAAATAGGCGAATGCGGACTTGCCACCACACTGCACACACAGACCTAATTGTTTTTCTCTTTTTCTTTGGCAAGATAATTGTAAATTGGCGCGTAAAAATCACAAACAAACAATTGACATATTATAGTTTAACTTATTATTATTATTATCTATTTCGAATTATTCCACTGGTGATTGAAAAAGAATTATCATTATGGAGAGTGATAGTGAAACTAATAATGGCACACAAGATAAACAAGAAGACATGAGGTGATTTTTACATTTCTCATATTGTTACAAAATTATTATAAATGATAAAAATTTGAATTACTTTATAGTTTTGTAAAATCAACCGCAGAAATAGAAGAAACATTGAGATTATTCCGTATTCATACAGATAATGTTAAACCTTTGACATATGCATTATACTCTACTGAGCCACTTGATAAACCTTCAGAGCAGTTTATGATTTTAGAAGCAGATGATCATATATTAAAATCTATAGAAGCTGGTGAATGGTAAGAAATTTACTTTAAAATTACATATGATATTTTTCTGGTCTTTGAAGTCTTATTTTAAATTGTACATTTATTAAAATCAATAATTCCAGTGTATCCTTTCGGGGTGAACCGAATGAGCCAGCAGTATTATGTTCAGGAACTCGAAGTTATGAGGTAAAAGAAGCTGAAACTTCAAGTACTTGTTTACTCATACCTAGTATTGATGAAATGGAAGCTAAAGCAGGTGATTTAAGTGAAAAAAAAATGGAAAGTGTACAAATTCTGGGAGTATACAGTAAATATTTTGAAGTAAGTATTTTAGGTAGATTAACTAAACATAAATCATTTAAAACCCTTATTATAAGCTTTGTGTATTTTTCAATCCAGATACGGGAGTGCAGCCCTAAGTTAGGAAAACTTGTAAGAGTTTTAGAACCAACTGCATTCAAAGGACTAGAGTATGAAAATACAATTGAAAAATCAGCACTTTTAGATTGGGATAAAGTTAAAAGTATAATTCAAGCCAGTGATGGAGAAATTTTACGTTATCTACCTGATCTTCTCGTTGTTGAGATGGATGGTAAAGGACACTTTTATTTAAAACTATGTGCTCGATATTAATGTTACTCAAATTAAACAAATATATTCCAGGTTACTTTAGATTAATATCCTTTGAATTTGAAGCAAGAGCAGTCCCTTTGATGCTTGATTTACTAGAAGCAAATTCTTGGGAAATAGATGAAGCAGATAAAGAAGAATCTTATGATTCCCTTAAAGAAATAATTCCTAAACCTGTTTTTGAATGTTTATTTGCTAAGTACGCCAGTCCAAGTGATAAAACAAAAAAAGATGGAACTAAATTATACAAGTAACATTAATTATATTTCTCATTATTTAAAATTGGTTGATTATATGTCAATAAATTACTTTCCAAATTTCTTAGATATGATGAAGAAAAATCAACTAAGCTGTTAGCCCGAATGTTGTTAACTGGTTGTCCATCCAATAATTTAAGTGATTTCATGGAAGCTTGGCAAATAGGATGTCCACCTGCACTTAAACCAAAAGAAGAATACTTATATGGAGTAGGAATCATTTTAGAAGATGATATGAGACGAAAACGTGTGAATTTGTTTCTTGAATGTGATTTATCCGATAATTTATCAACAAGATTAGACCAATTATTCAAAGCCAAACCAAAGTGGACTGTTAAAGAGATAACCCCTTATTTAGAGTAAGTTCTTACATAAAATATCATTTTTAAGATATCTAATTTAATATTTACTATTTCAGAAAATTTTCTACTAGTAGGCAAGATGTGAATGCAATTTTGACAAAATTTGCTAGACAGGCCACGGTGAATGGAGAAAGATTTTATTGTTCAAAACATGGAAGATAAAGTCCGTGTTATTTATTATGTAAAATTTTGAATTCAAAAGTATAGAATTATATTAATTCTCGAATATATTTTCGTACATAATGATGGTCCTTTTTTTATATAGAGTTCCTTTATCCTAAGTTAAACAATATTTTAGGAAAAGGTTTTTCGAAGAGTAGACATAAACGTAGAAAAAAACAAATAACATGATTTTGAAGTGTAATTTATTCTGTATAAGTTAACAATCATAGTTGATAATTCATATGTAATAATACATACTAACATTTACACAAATTTAAAAATATTCTAAACAAATCAAACAGACGAGTCAGCTTAAATTCGTTATTTTGTAATTTTACATAAAATTGAATTTCAAGTTCAATCTAACGATATGATACGCAATACAAAAATGATCAATTCGAAATACCGTCATTAAATAATTTTTCATAGCACGAATTTGTACTTTCAATTATCGAGACTCGAAGGTGTGTGTGTGTATAACTTTCGCTCGTATAAAGTGCTACCGTTTTTATTTAAAAATATTATTTTATTCGTGTATTAATTGCAAAGCCTCTTAATGGTTTTTAATGGGTTAGATCGATACTATAACATCTATATATCGAGATGATATGAGGAATAATGAAATAATGAATATTCGAGATAGGAACTGTAGCAAATATTACGTATAGCAATGATGATTATTTGTCCAAACTCATCGATTTATTTTAATGTTATAATATTTTCACATTTATGTAAAATATCTCGAATAACCATGTCCTCTTCATAAGCTGGTAGTGTCGGTTACTCACGCGAGCAAGGAAAAGAGTCTTTTTGTCACGCTTTTATTGCAATGGTTATTGGCTTATAGCTCTTATTACTTATACCGTCTATATTTATTTTCGGTATCGTTATGGTTTAGTTTATTTTGCGTGAATTAACACGTTAGTCCGTGAACTCCTCTGAGAGCTCGATATTTTTTTTTCTTTACATCATGCTCGAAACGATTATTTTTCTGTATACTTTACTATTAATGGATATACCGTTTTCACATATCGCACTGACTACTCGAAAAACGTTTCGATGAGTAAAAATTACAATTCTTATACGACGCAAAATTTTCAAAATGCTAAGTAAAAAAGAAAATCGGTATATGCCTAAAAAAACAACATTCATATCACCCAACACAAGTGTATATTATATCATTATATTATATCGCATCATCATTTATAGATCTAAACTTTGGAATCACGATCGTTAGCGTAATGTAATTTGCGATTTGGAAGAATTAATCGTACATCGCGATGCAGCGCATTACTAACTACTACTATTTGAATACTGTCCTATATATTACGTATAAGTACGTGTTTTGTTTTTTCTTCATACGCTTGGTATATAAATTATACAGCAACGAGATTGTATTATAGCGTAACCGAACATTTAGCAATTACAAAACAATCACCCTTAAAAAATGACTATCGTAAGATCGTTAAAATACGAGTTGTTTCTTCAAGCCCAGTATGTTGACTGCTCCGTGGCTGACGCCCGCATAATACAATTACAATTATGTACAAATTTCACGGAGAAAACTGTGAAAATCGGTTACATGCGTGACAGAAGCTCGGCGCGCAAAGAGGCTCTTCTTTAGCAAAGTGCCATAATTTTTGAAAAAAAAAATCAATCGAGCCTCTCGGTGCCGCCTGGCTGCTGTCGCGTTATCGATCATTTCTGCAGCCAGAGCGCGAAGTCGCGCATCACGTCGGCCACGTGCTAGCTGTTGTTGTCGGCCCCGGCGGCAGATTCATCGAGCTGCAATATCCCAACGGCTCATACCGAAATCGGCGAGCTTGGCGCAGTTGTGAGCCGAGACGAGGACGTTGCGCGCGGCTATGTCGCGATGCACGAACTTCTTGCTCTCGAGATAGGACAGGGCGGTGCTGAGCTGAAAGGCGTAGAGCAGCAGCGAGGCCAGATCCAGTCGGGACTTGTTGGACTGGAGATAGGCGCGCATCTCGCCGAGCTTGGCGAGCTCCATGACGAGCCAGATGGGCGCCTCGCTGCAGACGCCCACCAGCCGGATTATGTGCGGATGCTCGAACTGCTGCATTATGTCTGCAAAAAAAAAGAAAAAAAATACGTCAGAAATTCCCTTTCTTGGTGCACCGATACGTTACGCGTATAGTTATGTGTGTGGCGCGTTTGTTTTCTTATCGGCTCAGCAGATTTGTTATTGTATCGCAGAGAGTCGTGAACGTCGAGTCTTTATATGCGCGCATTGTGTAGCATGCGACACTTCAGCGTTGAGAGATACTCTCAGTAGTGGCCTGCCCGCAGACCGGCTCGTATATTTACGAGCACATAACCGACGAGTGTTTTTGGTAAGTTTTATAATTGCTTCAAACTCGAATTCTTTGAATTTTCTCGATTGTTGTCTAGAGGCAAAGAGAGAAAAAAAACAGTCGCGCGTCCGCGTCGAGTAACGAAGCTCATTGTTTTGATCGCGGGTACGTAGAGTTTTAACCGCCTTTGTTCGTCACCGGTCGTGCAACAGTGTATATGCCATAGTGTATAAAAGTGACTAATAAGACGTGTGAAAATTTTTCTTTTTTCATTGTTATACAGATCAAGTGTTATGTCGGATCCAGTCCGTAACGCAACGACAACGTCCGAGGAAGAAAAAGAGAGGGAAATTCACAGTTCGAGCGGCGCAATGGGCAAAAAGACCAAATCCAAGAAAAGTCACAGTCCGTCGGATCAGCAGCAGCAACAACAGCAGCAGGAACGCAGCAAGATCGAACCTGAATCGGTGCAGCAAAAGCCTGATCACGACGTCGAGCATCGTCGTCGTCGAGAAGAAACGAATTATTTCGATCCCAGGGAACTCGAAAGATACCAACAAGTGAACGGGACACCGGAGAATAGTTCGAAGATGTGCTCTTTTTGCTTGATCACCGGCCATGCTACGTCTAATTCTGATCTCAGGAGACAGTGCAAAATGTTGAATAAATTGCGTAGCGAATTTTTTGAGTCTTATGGGCACTCCATCGACGATTGTCCAATTTACGGGAGAGAAATTTGTAGTTTTTGTGGATTAAAAGGGCATGACCACGAACGTTGTGAAATATTATTAATAGAAATGAGAGGCTCTCAGAATGCAACAAGAAAGTCTCCACCCGAAGCAAAAAAATGTACGTTTTGTGGTGATCAAGGTCATGACGATGAATATTGCCCAAAAAAAGAAGAAGAAAGAAGGTCTTCTTTGATGAATTATTATACAAGAACTTCTAGTATTCACTCCTATACTGAATCAGAAAATAACACTAACAAATATGGATTTGAAAAAAACAATAAAGAAAAAACTTTACTTGAAAGTAAAAACGAAAAATGTACGTTTTGTGGTGATCAAGATCATAACGATGATCATTGCCCAAGAAAAGAAGTAGAAAGAAAAAGGTCTTCTTTGTTAAATTATTCCGCAAGAACTTCTTCTAGTACTCACTCCTATACTGAATCAAAAAATAACACTGAAAAATATGGATTTGAAGAAAACAATGAAGAAAAAACTTTACATGAAAGTACAAAAGAAAAATGTACTTTTTGTGGTGAAAATGGTCATAACGATGAATATTGCCCAAGAAAAGAAGTAGAAAAAAGGTCTTCTTTGATGAATTATTGTACAAGAACTTCTAAAATTCACTCCTATACCGAATCAGAAAATAACTCTAACAAATATGGATTTGAAAAAAACAATGGAGAAAAAACTTTACTTGAAAGTAAAAACGAAAAATGTACGTTTTGTGGTGATCAAGATCATAACGATGATCATTGCCCAAGAAAAGAAGAAGAAAGAAAAAGGTCTTCTTTGTTAAATTATTCCGCAAGAACTTCTTCTAGTACTCACTCCTATACTGAATCAAAAAATAACACTAAGAAATATGGATTTGAAGAAAACAATGAAGAAAAAACTTTACATGAAAGTAAAAACGAAAAATGTACATTTTGCGATGAAAAAGGTCATAACGATGAGCATTGCCCAGAAAAAGAAAGAGCAAGAAAAAGAGAGAACTTTTTCAATTCAATGTATTCTCCACCTAATTTAGACAATTGGAGCACAAAATATTCTGCCACAACTTTTTCAAGTATTCACTCCCAAACTAGATCGGAAAATAATATTAAAATGAATGAGCTCGGAAAAAACAATAAAAAAAATATTACACTTGATAGTAAAGTTGAAGAGTGTACATTTTGCGGTATAGAAGGTCATGATGATGAACATTGCTCAATGAAAGAGGAAGCAAGAGAAAAGCCAATGATGAATTATTTTACAAGAACTTCTAGTATTCACTCCCAAACCGATTTAGAACATAACATTAAAAAGAATGAACTTGAAGAAAACAACAAAGAAAAAACATCACATGAAAGTAAAAGAGAAAAATGTACATTTTGTGGTAAAAATGGTCATGACGATGAATGTTGCCCAGAAAAAGAAAGAGTTAGAGAGAACTCTTCAAATTCAATATATTCTCCATCTAATTTAGACAATTGGAGCTCAAAAGATTCTGCAACAACTTTTTCGAGTATTCCCTCCCAAACTAAATCAGAAAGTAATATTAAAATGAATGAGCTTGAAGAAAACAATAAAAAAAATATTACACTTGATAGTAAAGTTGAAGAGTGTACATTTTGCGGTATAGAAGGTCATGACGATGAACATTGCTCAATGAAAGAGGAAGCAAGAGAAAAGCCAATGATGAATTATTTTACAAGAACTTCTAGTATTCACTCCTATACCAAACCAAAAAATAACACTAAGAAATATGGATTTGAAGAAAACAATGAAGAAAAAACTTCACATGAACGTATGAGAGAAAAATGTACGTTTTTTGGTGAAAATGGTCATCACGATGAGCATTGCCCAGAAAAAGAAAGAGCAAGAAAAAGAGAGAACTTTTTCAATTCAATGTATTCTCCACCTAATTTAGACAATTGGAGCACAAAATATTCTGCCACAACTTTTTCAAGTATTCACTCTCAAACTAGATCGGAAAATAATATTAAAACGAATGAGCTTGAAGAAAACAATGAAAAAAATATTACATTTGACAATAAAGCTGAAGAGTGTACATTTTGTGGAATAGAAGGTCATAATGATGAACATTGCTCAATGAAAGAGGAAGCAAGAGAAAAGCCTATGATGAATTATTTTACAACTAATATAGATCAGAACACAAAATATTCCACAAGGAATTTTTCTAGTAGTTACCCCCAGAGCCATTCAGAAAATAATTTCTTTACAGTGCCAAGCGATATTGAAGAAAGAAACAGTAATTTTTATAGTAAACCAGTTCGTGACAATGAATGCACCCTACAATTGAAACAAGATAAGGGAAATAGTTCTGATTCTGAAAGAAATCTTCTGCAGGGTCCTAAAAGTTATCTAATGCAATCAATTAATGCAGTTCAATCATTTTTCGGTCGAGGATCAAAACCAAGCGATTCTGATTTTGAAAATGATGAAAAACAATTTCAGGAAGTGAAATATAAAAAAAAAAATAAAACCCTTGAATGTGAATTATGTTCAGAACGTGGACATAAAAAAGAAAATTGTCCAATCCCAAAAGAATTAGAAAAATTGGATTTATGTGATGAAGCAAGCAAGCAAGAAAAAAATGAAACCCTTATATGTGAGTTATGTTTAAATGATGGGCATGAAAAAGAAAATTGTCCAATGATAAAAGAATTAGAAAAATCTGGTTTATATGATCAAGAAAACGAGGATTATAAACCATATTCTGAATCATATTCTGAATATGATAAAAAAAAAGAAAGCTATCCAGTGGATAAAGGATTAGGAAAATATGAAAATAATGATTCATTTGATCATAGAAACGTGAATTGTGGGCTTCCATCATATTCAGATTGTTTGAAAGATTCAAAAAAAAATCTAAAGAGTTCCAAAAATATTAACAGCAAAAAAGACTTGAAGAGTGACTTATGTAATAAATATCAAAATATGAACTTGTGTAATGCTAATCAAGATAATGACACAAAGGAAAATAAGTCTTCAACAGAACAATTACAGGAGAAAATATTAACAGGTGCAAGAGAACTGTTGCCTATAATTTGTACAATGCATAATTTTTGCTATGAATGTCACCCCCCACTGTATGTATTTGATCATTATCATAAATCTTGTAAATTTACGAATGATATATTAAAATTATGTGATGTGAATGTTCAAAAGATTAATTGCAACATTTGTGATCGACAATGTGCATATGCAGAAGATCCAAAAGAGAACTAGATGAAGAACGTATTATAAAATTGTCTAAAATTTGTACAGATCATCTTACATTCAAAATGTTTCCCTCCCCTTTCCCTAAAATCTTGTATTTTTAGAATTAAAATTATCTGATACAAATGTTAAAAATGTTAAATGTATTTTTTGAGCTGGACAAGATGTATCTGAAAAATGTCATAATACTTTCTTTTCAAGTAGACTATAGCAAAATCATTAAAAAATGTTCATACTTTTCATAGATTTCTATGACTATAAGTGTATGACAATAATTGAATGTTATACTTTTGCAGTAATTATTGTCGAATAATTACTATTTTCAATAAAGATAGATTCTATCAATAAACACATCAAAAATCTATGAGTTAATTATTTTTGCCCTATATCATGACATAATGAATATTATTTAATTTTTCTACTGTTGAATATTTTCAGAATTCATGCAATGTAAATTACTCACAAGCTTCTTCAAGAAACTTCTCAGATGTAGCTAGATCTGCATCTACTTTACATGTTTTCACTGCTACTGGTACAACCTGTCCGTCTCTGCCTTTATAAGAACCTTTGTGAACATTGCCAAATTGTCCTTCGCCTATGATTTCACCCAGCTCAACTTGATTTCTCACAATTTCATAATCACGCGCTACAAAAGATTCAATTTAATTAATGATTATTCGAGACAATTTCAATCAACATTATAAGCATATCAACTTACTTGCTGGTGTCGAATAGTCACCTTCTTCGTCTACTATCTCTGCGTAATCTTCGGATAGCATTGTACCAGTTTTTCCATGAATTTTTTTCTCTGGACTCTCCTTCTTATCTTGTCTATACTTTGGTGGATGAGCATCTGAGAAATGAATCAGTGTTATTTATTATGTAAAATTTTGAATTCAAAAGTATAGAATTATATTAATTTTCGAATATATTTTCGTAAATAATGATGGTCCTTTTTTTATATAGAGTTCCTTTATCCTAAGTTAAACGATATTTTAGGAATCGGTTTTTCGAAGAGTAGACATAAACGTAGAAAAAAACAAATAACATGAATTTGAAGTGTAATTTATTCTGTATAAGTTAACAATCATAGTTGATAATTCATATGTAATAATACATACTAACATTTACACAAATTTACAAATATTCTAAACAAATCAAACAGACGAGTCAGCTTAAATTCGTTATTTTGTAATTTTACATAAAATTGAATTTCAAGTTCAATCTAACCATATGATACGCAATACAAAAATGATCAATTCGAAACATCATCATTAAATAATTTTTCATAGCACGAATTTGTACTTTCAATTATCGAGACTCGAAGGTGTGTGTGTGTATAACTTTCGCTCGTATAAAGTGCTACCGTTTTTATTTAAAAATATTATTTTATTCGTGTATTAATTGCAAAGCCTCTTAATGGTTTTTAATGGGTTAGATCGATACTATAACATCTATATATCGAGATGATATGAGGAATAATGAAATAATGAATATTCGAGATAGGAACTGTAGCAAATATTACGTATAGCAATGATGATTATTTGTCCAAACTCATCGATTTATTTTAATGTTATAATATTTTCACATTTATGTAAAATATCTCGAATAACCATGTCCTCTTCATAAGCTGGTAGTGTCGGTTACTCACGCGAGCAAGGAAAAGAGTCTTTTTGTCACGCTTTTATTGCAATGGTTATTGGCTTATAGCTCTTATTACTTATACCGTCTATATTTATTTTCGGTATCGTTATGGTTTAGTTTATTTTGCGTGAATTAACACGTTAGTCCGTGAACTCCTCTGAGAGCTCGATATTTTTTTTTCTTTACATCATGCTCGAAACGATTATTTTTCTGTATACTTTACTATTAATGGATATACCGTTTTCACATATCGCACTGACTACTCGAAAAACGTTTCGATGAGTAAAAATTACAATTCTTAATACGACGCAAAATTTTAAAAATGCTAAGTAAAAAAGAAAATCGGTATATGCCTAAAAAAACAACATTCATATCACCCAACACAAGTGTATATTATATTATTATATTATATCGCATCATCATTTATAGATCTAAACTTTGGAATCACGATCGTTAGCGTAACGTAATTTGCGATTTGGAAGAATTAATCGTACATCGCGATGCAGCGCATTACTAACTACTACTATTTGAATACTGTCCTATATATTACGTATAAGTACGTGTTTTGTTTTTTTTCTTCATACGCTTGGTATATAAATTATACAGCAACGAGGTTGTATTATAGTGTAACCGAACATTTAGCAATTACAAAACAATCACCCTTAAAAAATGACTATCGTAAGATCGTTAAAATACGAGTTGTTTCTTCGAGCCCGGTGTCGACTTCTCCGTGGCTGACGCCCGCATAATACAATTACAATTATGTACAAATTTCACGGAGAAAACTGTGAAAATCGGTTACACGCGTGACAGAAGCTCGGCGCGCAAAGAGGCTCTCTTTAGCAAAGTGCCATAATTTTTTAAAAAAAAATAATCAATCGAGCCTCTCGGTGCCGCCTGGCTGCTGTCGCGTTATCGATCATTTCTGCAGCCAGAGCGCGAAGTCGCGCATCACGTCGGCCGCGTGCTAGCTGTTGTTGTCGGCCCCGGCGGCGGAGTTGTTGCCCGACGACGACGAGTTGTTCTTGAGATTGAACTCGGTGGCCGACGACAGACTCGTCTGGTGAATGATGGGCGTCTTGGTCTGGACGATGCTGCAGGCCACCGGCACCGGCGGCAGATTCATCGAGCTGCCGGCGCAGGAGAGCGAGGGCCGCTTGCGCTCGAGGCTGCTCGTGGAGCGTTGACGGCGCGCCGTCGAGTTGCGCTCGAGACTGTTGACCAGCTGGTGGCGACGCTCGAGACTCGACATGCCGCTGCCGCCGCTGGAGTCGAGGTAGCTCTGCGAAACAAACGGATATTAAATGTAAAAGCTGTCTAGATTTTTCATACTGTAATGAAAGCGACACTCACTTGAGAGCCACGCTCCATCGATTGGCCCATTCTGTGCAGCAGCTCGCCGCTCTGGCTCTGCCGGAAGCCCGTGTTCTGTCTCTCGGTCGACTGGCTCCTCCTCAAGAAGTGCTCGCCCGACTGGCTCGATCGCAGCCGGCTCTCGACGCTGCCGCCGCCGACCAGCTGCTGCACGACGTTTCTCGCGTTCAGGGATGATCCGTCGTTGTTGTGATACAGCTGCCGCTGACATATCTGCTGATCGACGTACGGATAGCGAATGCGAATCGAGTCGATTACGTCGAGGAGATTTTTCGCGTCCATGGCCAGTACGTGTGCCGCCGATAGCATACCCCTGTGCGTGGAGAGAAAAAAAAGATTAACGTAAGTGCCTGCTGGGTACAACGAGATTTTAACCGCGACGCAAAATATACAAGTATATAGACTGACTTCCGATACTCTCCGTCGAGGGTGGTGCTGCTGTAGCTCTGGGCGAGTTTCATGGCCGTGACGAGCTCGGCCATATCCTTGCTCAGCACCTTGTGGGCCATCTCGACCTCGCGATGCGCCGTCGTGGGCAGGATCTCGACGAGGCCGTCCACCGACGCCAGCAGGGATCTCAGCTCGATCCCGACCCGGCGCACGAACTCCAGATACTGATCGACCCGGGCCTGCTGCACGCCCTGCGACAGGGCCATTATGGCGCGCACCACGCTCGTCGTGCACTCGTACACCTTGTCGTTCTTGCGATCGAGATCGGCGGTGGGCGTCGGCTCCATCTTCTTCACGACGATGATCTTGCCGTGCTCGGTGGAGGACGATTGGCTCTTGTCCGAGCCCAGCGAGCCGGTGTTGGAGTGGCTCGTCGTGGTGTCGGGCATGTGCAGCAGGCTCGGGGATTGAGTGACCGAGCGAGGCACCGGCGGACTGGCGCTCGACTCGTCGCCGCTGGTGGCGATCGACAGTCGTTTCTGCGACAAAGTTAATCAATAAATTGCAACGAACTATACTCTTTTTTCTCGTTCAGCATTAATATCTTACCTCTTCTCTCGCGAGCCATCGACCGTCCTCCTCCGATTGACGCTGCTGCTCGAGCAATTGTTGCTCCAGAAACTTTTGCTCTTCCTCGATGCGCTGATTGAACTCAGCTTGAGTCTCGAATTTCAGCCCGTTTCTCTGTGAATCGAAAACGAGATCGTTAAAGATTTGGGAATCATTTAGTTTTATAAAATAAAAGAAAAGGCACTCTGCGTAAATGTACAATATTCACAGGGTTCTAAGGTCCATTAAAGTGCTAAATTTTTATTTTTAAAGTAACAGTTAAAACGTTGTCTTGCATCGGTGTATGTTACAACTAAATATAATGAAATAAAGTGGGTGCTTATAAAATGTACACATATACAGCCTTCAGTACTGGCTTGTAGCATGCAGAGTAATAATTTTAAATTTGATTGGGTCTCATGATCTAAACCTTGGAAAGGGATGTGTGGCTATTTGTATCGGTATTTTACACTAGTTTACTGGGTATTAATAATGGTGTATCGATAAAAACGTGCGTTAGTCGACAACAACGTGTTGATGATAGTAACAAAACAAATCTAAAACGAAAAACAGCAAATAATACACAGCAATTCTCCTGTTTCATTTTCCACTTTCGAGTGTGTCTGCAGCGAAAATAAAAATCAATGAGGTGAAACCAAACCCTCGATGCAAATCGAAAACGTTCAACAAAAACCAATAATCATGCGACGAAACGTGCCACCACTAAATCTCTGCGTATATACTTGGTGCTCGAAAACAAGAATCTATTATGAAGTACAAAAAATTACGATGATGTCTAATTGTATGTACAGAAAAAACGTGGGTGCTGTCCTACAACATATAATCCAAAATTACAAAGAAAATCGATCAACAAAACTATTAAAACCAACTAATGATATCTCGAGCTCGAGAAACAACAAAATAAAATATTCAACGTTGCAACGGGAACCAAAAATAATATGTACAGCATAAAAACCAACACGAGGAAGGTAAAACAACGATGGAAGAGTCAACGAGGAAAAAAATCACTCTCGATAAAAATGGACGAGCAAGACGAGCGCAAACCTGCTGCAGTTGCTGCTGCTCAAAACCCAAGTCTTCCTGACGATGCTGCTGATGATGATAATGGAGATCGGCAGCCGAGGCAGACGACGAGGCAACAGCAGCCGCGGCAGCGGTCTGACTACTACTGGCCACGTAGACCTGGCCCGGCTGCGGTACGGCGCATTGACGAGCGTAATGCGTCTGCACCAGTGGATTCTGACCGTAGCTCGGGGGGCATTGTTGCTGTTGTTGCTGTTGTTGTTGCTGTTGTTGTTGCATCCTCTGCACAGCGGCAGGACTGTACATCGGGCCGGCCTGTCTGGCCTGTTGCTGCTGATAATTCGTGGCCGAGTAAATCTGCGACGGCTGATTGAAATTCGGCGGCTGCTGATGACGGCCGCTCGGCCGGAATTTCATGACCGGACCGTAAAGCTTCTCGACCGCGGGATAGGGCAGATTGCCGACGACGCAGCCGCCGCCACCACCACCGTTCGTCACCGTCGTCGTCGTCGGTTCGGGTGGCGGCGGTGGCTCGGCCTCGGACATGTTGCCGACGAGGCTCGGGCTCTGGCTCAGACTGCCGACGATCACCGAGCTCTGACTGAAACCGGCCACGGGGCCGTAGATCATCTCGGCCGAGCAGGGCTGCTGCTGCAGCTTCTGCACCGGCGTGTAGAGATCGGTAACTTGTTTGCGAGCGGGCGACGACGACGACGACTGATGCTGCTGCTGCTGGCAGTTATTCTCCGAGAGACTCAAGCTCGAGAGGAACGAGGACACGGTCGTATCGGTAGTCGACTCGATCGAGTCGAGATTCGCTTCGGAGGCAGCAGCGGCAGCAGTGGCAGAGGAAGAGATTTGTTGCTGCTGCTGCTGCTCCGGATTATTACTACTACTACTAGCACTACTACTCGGGCAGGGATCGGCAAAGGGCAGATCGGCCACGCAGGCCGTGGTGGTGAGGAGCTTGTCCTCCTCGTCCTGGAACTGCACGGCCAGAGAATTGAAGGGGGTCGCGGGTGTCGTGTAGACCGAGGGACATACCCCGCGCGCCTGGCTCTCCTTCATCAGCTGGGCCAGCACCTCCGGGCTCTGGGCGACGATGTAGGTCGAGACGGGCGCCGTCTGGTCACCACCCACCGTTGCCGCGGACGATTGTTGATCCGCCGACGTCTGGCGGCTGAGCGGACCACCGCTGTTGGATTTCGCCACGGGCACGGCGTCGTCGCCGACTGTGAACGACAATCGTTTATTAGCAAAAAGAAGAACTTGTACGAATGAGATGTTTTTTTTTGTTAACGCTTACCCCAAGACATCGCGTGCTGCCTTCGATTCTCTCTCCGGACGTGCTCCTGGTGCTGGTGTCGCTCCTCGATGAGAATTTCGCTGGAGGAAAAAAAATTGACAATTGTAAAATGAATAATCAAAGTTGTCCTTACGGAAATTCATCGATACTCTAATTCTTAAACACTCTTTAAAAGTCCGAATAAGTCTTAAAAATTCTTGTAAATATTTGGATTTCGTACCATGATTTTTTAGAGTTGATAAAACTTGATAAAATTTTAATTGATATAAGTAAATTTTAAAAATTTATGTGAAACCGGATATTTAGTTTCCAAATTATAGTATTAAAAGTTATTAAGTTTTGATAAAAGTTTTTATTATTTTTAAAAACTTTTTTGATCGGTATCTACGTTCGCCAAAAGTCATGGTGAAAAAACTATACAAGCAACCATATGAACAATATAGGAAAAAAAATGAAAAAAAAAATGAACACTTTTTCAAAAAAATCGAGTCTCCACAAGATTTTATGAAAACTCTAATTGACTCTTCAAAATCATTAATCATTTGTAAGACTTTTCAAGGCTTTTTTAGATTTTATAAAACTTTCTCGTGAGAAAAATTTCCGTCGGGGTATTTCGACAATTAAAACCTGAAGATTACCCTCAAAGAGATTTTAAAATTTGTTCAAAAGTTTATTTGTGACTCGAGCACAAGCGCCAGTTATATACTCACTGCAAATTTTCTCTAATATCCTTGAACGTCGGCCTCTTGCTCGGCTCGTAATTCCAGCACTGCGACATGAGCGAGTACAGTCTGGGCGGACAGTTGCCCGGCAGCGCCAGTCTCTCGCCGTTCTCGAGCTTGCCGATCACCTCGTTGTTCTTCACGCCCTGGAACGGCTTCACGCCGTACATGAGTATCTCCCAGATGCAGACGCCGAACATCCAGACGTCCGAGGCGGTGGTGAAGCGGCGAAAGTTGATGCTCTCCGGGGCCATCCACTTGATCGGCAGCTTGCACTTGCTCGCCGTGTAGTAGGACTGATCCTCGACCCAGCGCGACATGCCGAAATCGGCGAGCTTGGCGCAGTTGTGCGCCGAGACGAGGACGTTGCGCGCGGCTATGTCGCGATGCACGAACTTCTTGCTCTCGAGATAGGACAGGGCGGTGCTGAGCTGAAAGGCGTAGAGCAGCAGCGAGGCCAGATCCAGTCGGGACTTGTTGGACTGGAGATAGGCGCGCATCTCGCCGAGCTTGGCGAGCTCCATGACGAGCCAGATGGGTGCCTCGCTGCAGACGCCCACCAGCCGGATTATGTGCGGATGCTCGAACTGCTGCATTATGTCTGCGAAAAAAAAGAAAAAAAATACGTCAGAAATTCCCTTTCTTGGTGCACCGATACGTTACGCGTATAGTTATGTGTGTGGCGCGTTTGTTTTCTTATCGGCTCAGCAGATTTGTTATTGTATCGCAGAGAGTCGTGAACGTCGAGTCTTTATATGCGCGCATTGTGTAGCATGCGACACTTCAGCGTTGAGAGATACTCTCAGTAGTGGCCTGCCCGCAGACCGGCTCGTATATTTACGAGCACATAACCGACGAGTGTTTTTGGTAAGTTTTATAATTGCTTCAAACTCGAATTCTTTGAATTTTCTCGATTGTTGTCTAGAGGCAAAGAGAGAAAAAAAACAGTCGCGCGTCCGCCTGTCGAGTGACGAAGCTCATTGTTTTGATCGCGGGTATATAGTAGAGTTTTAACCGCCTTTGTTCGTCACCGGTCGTGCAACAGTGTATATGCCATAGTGTATAAAAGTGACTAATAAGACGTGTGAAAATTTTTCTTTTTTCATTGTTATACAGATCAAGTGTTATGTCGGATCCATTCCGTAGCGCAACGACAACGTCCGAGGAAGAAGAAGAAGAGAGGGAAATTTACAGTTCGAGCGGCGCAATGGGTAAAAAGACCAAATCCAAGAAAAGTCACAAGAAGAATAAGAAAATCAGGACGAGTCCGTCGGATCAGCAGCAGCAACAACAGCAGCAGGAACGCAGCAAGATCGAACCTGAATCGGTGCAGCAGAAGCCTGATCGCGACGTCGAGCGTCGTCGTCGTCGAGAAGAAACGAATTATTTCGATCCCAGGGAACTCGAAAAATATCAACAAGTGAACCGGACACCGGAGAATAGTTCAAAGATGTGCTCTTTTTGCTTGATCACTGGCCATGCTACGTCTGATTGTGATCTCAGGAGACAGTGCAAAATTTTGAATAAATTGCGTTGCGAATTTTGTGAGTTTTATGGGCACTCCATCGATGATTGTCCAATTTACGGGAATGAAATTTGCAGTTTTTGTGGATTAAAAGGGCATGACCACGAACGTTGTGAAACATTAATAAAAGCAATGAGAGGCTCTCAGAATGCAACAAGAAAGTCTCCACCCGAAGCAAAAAAATGTACGTTTTGTGGTGATCCAGGTCATGACGATGAATATTGCCCAAAAAAAGAAGAAGAAAGAAGGTCTTCTATGATGAATTATTATACAAGAACTTCTAGTATTCACTCCTATACCGAATCAGAAAATAACACTAACAAATATGGATTTGAAAAAAACAATAAAGAAAAAACTTTACTTGAAAGTAAAAAAGAAAAATGTACATTTTGCGATGAAAAAGGTCATAACGATGATCATTGCCCAAAAAAAGCAGTAGAAAGAAGGTTTTCTTTGATGAATTATTATACAAGAACTTCTAGTATTCACTCCTATACCGAATCAAATAATAACACTAAGAAATATGGATCTGAAGAAAACAATGAAGAAAAAACATTACTTGAAAGTAAAAAAGAAAAATGTACATTTTGCGATGAAAAAGGTCATAACGATGATCATTGCCCAAAAAAAGAAGAAGAAAGAAGGTCTTCTTTGATGAATTATTATACAAGCACTTCTAGTATTAACTCCCAAACCGATTCAAAAAATAACATTAAAGAGAATGAACTTGAAGAAAACAACAAAGAAAAAACTTCACATGAAAGTAAAAGAGAAAAATGTACATTTTGTGGTAAAAATGGTCATGACGATGTATGCTGCCCAGAAAAAGAAAGAGTTAAAGAGAACTCTTTCAATTCAATATATTCACCTAATTTAGACAATTGGAGCACAAAAGATTCTGTTACAACTTTATCGAGTGTTCATTCCCAAACTAGATCAGAAAATAATATTAAAATAAATCAGCTTGAAGAAAACAATGAAAAAAATATTACACTGGATAGTAAAGTTGAAGAGTGTACCTTTTGTGGCATAGAAGGTCATGATGATGAACATTGCTTAAAGAAAAAAGAAGCAAGAGAAAAGCCTATGCTCGATTATTTTACATCCGATATGGATCATAACAAAAAATATTCCACAAGGAATGTTTCTAGTAGTTACCCCCCCAGTCGTTCAGAAAATAATTTCTCTGCAGTGCCTGGTGATATGGAAGAAAGAAACAGTAATTTTTATAGTAAATCAGGTCAAGACAATGAATGCAGCTTACAATTGAAACAAGATAAGGGAAATAGTTCTGATTCTGAAAGAAATCTTCTGCAGGGTTCTAAAATTTATCTAATGAATGCATTTCAATCATTTTTTAATCTAGGATCAAAACCAAGTGATTCTAATATTGAAAATGATGAAAAACCATTTCAGGAGGTAAAACATAAAAAAAAAAATAAAACCCTTGAATGTGAATTATGTTCAGAACAAGGACATAAAAAAGAAAATTGTCCAATACAAGAAGAATTAGAAAAATTGGACTTATGTGATCAAGCAAGCAAGCAAGCAAGAAATGAAACCCCTAAATGTGAGTTATGTTTAAAACACTGGCATAAAAAAGAAAATTGTCCAATGGTAAAAGAATTAGAAAAATCAGATTTATACGGTCCAGAAAACAAGGATTATGATCATTCATCATATTTTGAATATGATAAAAAGAAAGAAAGCTATCCAGTGGCTAAAGGATTAGGAAAATATGAAAATAATGATTCATTTGATCATAGAAACGTGAATTGTGGGCTTCCATCATATTCAGATTGTTTGAAAGATTCAAAAAAAAATCCAAAGAGTTCCAAAAATATTAACAGCAAAAAAGACTCTGAGAGTGACTTATGTAATAAATATCAAAATATGAACTTGTGTAATGCTAATCAAGATATTGACATGAAGAAAAATAAGTCTTCAACAGAACAATTACAGGCGAAAATATTAACAGGTGTAAGAGAACTGTTGCCTATAATTTGTACAATGCATCATTGTTGTTATAAATGTCATCCCCCAATTAAACATTTGAATCATGATCATATATCTTGCAAATTTATGAATGAAAAATTTAAATTATGTGATGCGAATGTTCAAAGGATTAATTGCAACATTTGTGATCGACAATGTGCATATGCAGAAGATCCAAAAGAGAACTAGATGAAGAACGTATTATAAAATTGTCTAAAATTTGTACCGATCATCTTACATTCAAAATGTTTCCCTCCCCTTTCCCTAAAATCTTGTATTTTTAGAATTAAAATTATCTGATACAAATGTTAAAAATGTTAAATGTATTTTTTGAGCTGGACAAGATGTATCTGAAAAATGTCATAATACTTTCTTTTCAAGTAGACTATAGCAAAATCATTAAAAAATGTTCATACTTTTCATAGATTTCTATGACTATAAGTGTATGACAATAATTGAATGTTATACTTTTGCAGTAATTATTGTTGAATAATTACTATTTTCAATAAAGATAGATTCTATCAATAAACACATCAAAAATCTATGAGTTAATTATTTTTGCCCTATATCATGACATAATGAATATTATTAAATTTTTCTACTGTTGAATATTTTCAGAATTCATGCAATGTAAATTACTCACAAGCTTCTTCAAGAAACTTCTCAGATGTAGCTAGATCTGCATCTACTTTACACGTTTTCACTGCTACTGGTACAACCTGTCCGTCTCTGCCTTTATAAGAACCTTTGTGAACATTGCCAAATTGTCCTTCGCCTATGATTTCACCCAGCTCAACTTGATTTCTCACAATTTCATAATCACGCGCTACAAAAGATTCAATTTAATTAATGATTATTCGAGACAATTTCAATCAACATTATAAGCATATCAACTTACTTGCTGGTGTCGAATAGTCACCTTCTTCATCTACTATCTCCGCGTAATCTTCGGATAGCATTGTACCAGTTTTTCCATGAATTTTTTTCTCTGGACTCTCCTTCTTGTCTTGTCTGTACTTTGGTGGATGAGCATCTGAGAAATTAATTTTTGTTAAAGAGCATTTATTCGGAGAATGATTCGAGAAAATAAAACTAAAGAGAGTTACAAACCTTTACAAGGGCAGGGATAATTTTTCCAAGAAGCAGCTTAAAGAGTAAACAATCGAAGTAGTGTTAAATCATAGAAGGATTAAAAAGACAGCATCAAGTGTAAGTGAATAGAAGAAAAATTAGTTGGATAATATCTAGAAAAATTACTAAATACGTGAATACCAGTTTACAAAATGTTAACACCAATATAAGTAATAACTAAGTATAATCTCAATCCTCGTCTGTTCATTAATCTAGTATCGTTTTTAAATAATTCCAATACATTGTTAACAATACGTATATTTGAAAGTAGATCGAAAGTCAATAAACCAATTATTTATTTAAAATTTAATCCAGAGACGATCTCTAACTAATAAGTACCGAGTCCATTCCACGATACCTTTTCTATTCCACAGCGATGTATTGCTATTTGTCATGACTCTGCAATAACCATCGATCAAATCCGCCAGACTTTCCGCTTGGTCGAGGCTCGAGCAAGTGATACTGAGAATCTCATCCGCTCCAGCCACCCGGAGTTTGATGCAAGCTTTGGCGTGCTCCGTGCAATCGGACACCAATGTCTGTATCGACTGAATCGCCTTGAATTCCGCCAGACTCGTCGGCTGAAAATCGTTACGATGTCATTCGATGTGGAATCAAATTTTTGTTATACGAGACACCTTCGAACGAAGTTCGGAAAAAAAACGACTTACGCTTGTACCGCCGCGATGAGCCATGTGGGATATTCCAAGATCTGGCCCTATGACTAGTTCGACGGGTATCGACCAGCTTGTCTGTTCGTGGCGTAGAAAAAAAAACAACGTATTATTTCGAAAAACAGTCGCGGATGATTGTGTCTTTAATTTTAAGGAAAAAAAACTCACCCCCAAAGCACAAATGAATCTCTCTTGGTCGAATCTGTAATGCTGCCGGAGAATGTCGAAGAACTTGAACATGCACTCGAGCTCGGAGAGAGCGGTGACTTTTTTGAAATGCTGCTGTATGAGCTTGCGAAGTGCTTTCGGCTTCATCGTGTTGATGATTGAGCGAGGTAAAAATTTATGCAAGCCCACCTAGAATAAGCATTTATTCGTTTAGTTTCAGTTAAAAGCATAAAAATGAACCAATCGAGCTACTTACCTCCCTCTCCAGATACTCCAAATTGCTCTTTTTATCGAGAGCCACGTGGGGCATGTCCTTGAAGAAGTACCTTATCTCCAGGCAGCACAATTGCACGGCCACGTCCTGATCGAGAGTCGAGTGATTGGCCGTGAGGTAATCGTTGCGCACCTGATCGTAGTAGTAGAAGAACGTCACCCGGTCCTTCTCGTACAGATCGTTGAGGCTCTGCGGCAGGTATCTGATCCTCAGCTCGTAGCGCCACTCGCTGTGCGGATGCCGCTTCTCGTACTTCTCCTGGACCTGGTACATGGTCGTGTCCTGATGGAGCCAGTGGCACTCGTGCGAGGCCGGATGGTGCAGCCTCATGGCGTAGAGATTCTTGTAGTGGCGCGGGCCCGCGGCGAGCCTCGTGGTGACCAGCGATATGATGCCCTTGACGTCGATCGCGTCCCCGAATTTCACCATGTTGAAACCGCCTGGAAAAATTATATTTACGTTTAATCGAGAGGGTATTTGTACAGCTTCCCTGAAAATTATCTTTTGCTATAAAATTTTATTAATTGATACAAACATTCGTATTTGAGACTTTAATAAAAGCTAATAAAAGTTTATTGAAGTTCTTTGAACTTTATAAAAGTTAATAAAAGTACATAATATTAAGTTAATTAAAGTTTATAGTATTTCTTCAACAACTGCGAGTTTTTTAGTTTTGGATCGACAAAAAATTAAAAATGTGCAAAAGTCATAGAGTTATGAATTAATTACCTTTTTTTTTTTAATTAATGAACTCTTAAATAATCGTTTGACGCTTTTTTGGCTTACACATCCTACAAAGTAAGCTCAAATTAGCTAGTTTACGAAGATGTAAACTAAATTACTAACGTCTGGTTCAAAAGCTCATTCTCAATTTGAAAATGAAAAACGAAAAAAAAATAGTTCAGTTTTCACTTTTTAGTTGCAAAATATACTATAAAATTTATTAGAGTCTCAAATCCCAATGTTTTTATCAATTAATCAAAGTTTATCGAAGTTTATACAATTTTATTAATTTTTCTAGAAGAAACGATTTTCGTTAGGGTTGAAATGACGTATGAACGCTGACTTACCATTCGGAAGATGAACCTTGAGCGTGGCCTTGTCCATGATGGTGGGCGATCCATGGGGCGGCGTGTTTCTGCCGGCTTGGACCCCACCCGGTCCGCCGCCGCTGCCGTCACCTCCAGCGCTCATGCCCTCATGACTGCAAAAATGCAAAAAGGAGTCATCGATTATTATTTGTTCGGTGAAAAGCATTCATCGTTCGTTATAAATAAATATTGAATATTTTTAGAGTTAAAAATGCGATGCATTATTTTTTTTCGCAATTACTAACGTCGAAGTAGCCTCTCGAGCGAAGGTGTATATAAATAGATACCAATTGTTTTATTATTGGTTTTCGATTGTATCGTATTTGTGCGCGGGTGTGACGCGCTTACGCAATTCATAACTTTTAGTTTGCGTTTGACGTTTGCGTTATACGTACATATAATATATGAAACGTTCCCACGCAAAGATAAATTTGTAACGCCAAAGGGTTACGTAAGCCGAAAATTCAATCGACAGCACAAATTGATTGCTAAATTCGTCCATCGATCGAATCGGAAATTAATTTCGGGCAAAAGGGCGACATATTACATTGTAAAAGCCGGAGCATACGAATGTCTGCGAAGCGAGAAACCTCGACGCGTACGGCGCAAGCTCTTTCTTTGTAGGGGGGGTGTGGGTGTTGATATTTTTCGAGTGCCGGAATAAAGCTCGTGTAAGTGCAGCACGAGGTGACTCCTTATAAAGTAGAGCGCGCGAAACACAGGGCTTAAGTATAAGTAAAGTAGCAATTTGGCACTTATCACGTGCGTACAAATGAGAACGACTGAGAAGCAGAATTATCGTCATTATAATATATAATTGCACAATGCAAGTTTCGAGCTTTTTTATGCATTTGCTTGTCGAGTCGACTTTGATATAATCGTCGTATAATAAGACTCAATTTCGTAAAAGTTCAATGAACTTGGATAAATTCCATGGAGTTGATGAATTCTCTCAATCAAGAGATGTCAATCAAGAATACGTGTTGGCACGAGCACGTTTTATAAGATCGTTTCGTTCGCTCTTAGCGCTTCGCACCGCGATATCTCTATACATCGAGCATATTTCTCGAAGTCAAAGCTCGAAGTGGTTTTCCGTGTCGCGATGTATATCCACTTCATCGTATTTTTCATATCGTTTTTTTGTACGCTGTTTTGTCTAGTGCAAATAAAGCCTCATCCGCGCTCGCGCGGCAAAGGGATCCCGAAATTAGTTTTGAGAGATACATTTATATAGGCTATTTTTATTACGGTGATTATTACAAAGATTACGATAAAACACGGAGCTTTTATAACGCTTTCTGCGTCGCGACTTCTTGGCTTTTTGAGTACGAGTGCATATACGACGTACTAATACGCGCACACGAGTCCTTGGGCGTCGTCGGTGAACGAGCGCACGACAAAAAAAAATTAACGATCTTTTCAGGTCACTGGCTCGGAGCACTACGTACGTTGCTATATATAAGATATATATTTGTCATATCGAGCTTCTTCGTCGTCGAACGTGTCGACGGGCCGATGTAATATCTGATTCGCGACGATCGAAAAAAATAAATATACATGTTCCATATTTACAGTTTTATGACCAACGAGTCGTTCGTCCAGTGCACCGCAGAGAGAGATAGAAAAGAAAAATACGTATAATTTTATGAAAGGGCCGGTGAATTTTAATTTACACACAAGTGCAGCGGAGCATTGAACGAGTTCAAATTAACGAGGGAAAGAGCATTATATTTTCGCAGTGAAAAATAATTTAATTCAACGCACGCACGAGACGCAGGAGTTTTTCTAGGTGAACCGTTAAGTCCCCGACACTGTGTATCTTATTTTTATATATATATTTTTTTTCTAAAGATCAAGGAAATGAGTTTGCTTCTTTCGTTTTAACACGGTTATATGCGTATACCTATTGTATATTCAAGAAGGAACGATAATTTTTCCAGAAAGCTCATCCTAGAATTTTTTACCCAAAGTCGATCTCATACATAAAATGTTCACATCGTAAAGCATACGAACTTATGCAGGCGTGTGCGCAGTAATAAAGAGCCGGGTTTATCATTGAAAAGCATCGCAAACTCTGCTGTGCTGCTGCTGCAAATGTAAAACACAATGGCAATAAATGCTGTTTTACTCGCAAATATGGAACGACTCTTCCCTTCGAGAAGGAGTAGTATAGTCGCGGCTGCGCTTTATAATACATTTATGTGCGCGCACGTGTTAACGAGCTGCCGCGCAATTCTCACGAAGCTCCTAATCGTCCAATGAATAAACAATTCGCCTCGTTGTTTTCCTCCTATTTTTAATGATTATTTGGTTTTCTTTTAAAACTAAAGATCGTATATTATACAGCTCGAAAAACAAAGAGATCCGAGCTCACGCGTCGATATATATCGAAGCAATGGAGAAGATTCGAGATGACGAGAGAAAGAAGTCAATGGTCCCGTTTGACACTCGGACGAGACTTGGCTCTCGCGTATATTATAGCGCACGAGCTTTTATCGAAAAAAAAAAGATCATATGTATAAAGAGCCGGAGAGAGAGAGAGAGAGACGCGTGCGCGCACATACTGCGATACGATATTATATGCATATTTCGAGCGCGTGCTCAGACAGCCGAGACTCGGACTGATGTCATCGCACTCGCGCGCACGCACACACAGATACACACAATCACATCGTGCTCGCTTGGACTGTCTTTTTTACTGCCTGGTATTATATGGTGCGGTCGATTCGATTCCCGGCGCGTTATATGCACGCACATACGCGCGCCTGCATGTATAAATATATCTATATGTATTATACGATAAGCCAATAAACGAGGCGCTGAATACGTCATCGAGTTTACGCCGTTGGCTCGATTCGTATTTAATATACATATACGAGTCTGTGTACGGCATAATTTTGCAGAACACGAGGTTCGGTCGTCTATGCGCAGGTACACATAATTTACTTGCCGCGGGTCGTGTATACTGTGCGTCACGCGCATTTACATATCGTACTTCAACAATGAATTACGCATATATGTAACGTAATTGGCTCTCGTTCGTTACACACACTCTTATTATTTACCGATCGCTGCGATTAATTCCCGATGCCTTTTTAATAATGCGTCCAGAACAATGGCAAATACGGCAGAGAGTGTAGTAGCCTATATTGTATAAGAAAGGAGCGCGCGGGAAATTTTGGCGCGTCGATCGGATCGATCGAGAAATCGGTATCCTCCGGGGGGCGCTTTACGCAACGCGAATCGCGCGCACGTGTCCGAATTTCTATCTCTATATAAGTAAATAAATAAATAAATGTCGACAGCGCGAGACAGATAAGAGAAAAATTTGCGCCTATCTCGTCCTTATAGAGACAATATAATGCAGGCGCAATCGTTCGAATACCTGCGCTATACATATAGTCCCGCGCGATATCTACCTAAAAAAATATTAATGTTTTAAACGGTCGCTCGCGCCTTATCGCATTATACATACTTTATATATATATACAGATGCGGGAAATCGCGATCGATAAATCAATCGATCCTTCGATTTACGAGAGCAACAACGGCTGCTGGCTGCAGCTGCGAAACTTTTCTAATACGATATCGACCGTGTACGCGTGTGTCGCATTCTTCTTTCTATATAAAACACGACACGCGTAATATATTATATACACGCACTGCTGGTGTCGCACTGGTGATAAGCTTTTAGAAAGTTGCAGTGAGTATACCTCGATCCGTGCGTTTGTAAAAAAAAATTATCTATGTGTGCACGTCGCAGCAGCAGAGGGAAAGGGAAAAGAAAAAATTGTCAAATGGATGTTGATCACGCTCTCACTGTAGTGAACTAGTACATAATTAAAGAAGTCCAAAAAAAAATGTAGGAAGAATACAGTTGAACACGAGCAAGTGTTCGTTATTGTGTACTTGCAACAGTTAAGATGCGGAGCTGCAGCTTTAATAGTTAATACATGCCTCTTGAGTACATCGCGCGGCATTAATTAATAACGTTGGTTCATATATACATATAATATAAATAGACACACACATACATAACGAGCAGCAGCAGCTGACGCCGCCTCAAAAGTTCTTCTGCTGTTATGCGTGCATACCGTTATGAAAACGGAGCACAACAATACAGGCGCGGATCAATATACCTATATACATACAGACATTGCAGCAGGTGCTCCACGCGGTAGTATACAGGTACTATACACACGAGCCCCGCTGCACTTATTATATAGCGCGGACAATTAGAGTTTCGAGTACACATGTGTCACGATCGCATTGCACATTATGTGCTCGCGAGCTCGAGAGAGTATAGCTGTGCACTTTTCTCTCGAACTCGAGCGGCGGCGGCAGCAGCAACGAGAAACAATGGACCGATTCTCGCGTGCTCGATATAGAGAGTACAAGGAGAATAAAAAAAAATAAAAATAAAAAAACGGGATTACGTCGATACGGAGACGCGTGGTAAGTTGCGCTATGCTGATCTTGGAAGGCTTATACGTTTTACGGCACTCGTGTGCTCTCGAGCACTTATAATGTCAATTCATCGGGGAGACGTAATATAAACTCGATCGATTTACACTCGAGGAGCCGATTTGTGACTCCGTATCGTGCGTGGCGCCGGCTATCGTATCCTATTTATTTAACTGTATACAAAGAGGATATAATGATATTCTTTTTGATAGAGACGGCCGGACAATTAGACAGGGTCATGAGTGAAATGAAAATTTTGAATTATTCTATTAGAAACTTTATAGGAGTGTAATTATAGTTTGAAAAATAAAAATGTTAGTTTGCCTCGCTACTTGTCAGAATACATTTGATTTCATTAATATCAGAGTTAAGTAATTGGTATCGATGATTAGAGATTGTCAGTTTCAGAAATGAACAAAAGCGAAGCACGCGGATCATCCGTTCGATCCTCGGCAGCTATTATATCATCAGCCGCGTGAGTGTGCTTAATTTTAGCACAACTCACGGTACGCGTGTACACACGATTATCTTTTTTTTTCTAGATAAATAATAGACTTGGCATTTATGTAAGAATATACCTTGGCTTATAAGCGACCCGATGGAACTTCCAAGTGCCGACGGTGTCGGGCGCGGCGTAACAATAATCGTC